TGTTTTACTACAAACTATACAACAAATATTTTCACTTTTTTCGGCGTCAAACTATACTATGACTTTTTCAGGACATTTGCATTTTCTCCATCATTATCAGTAGTAGGGCTGCACGATAATTGCAATATTCACCCCGCAGGACGTGCAATTAAAAAAAAAAAAATATATATATATTCTTTTATTTTTTAGGACTTGCGATATTAGCAAATTAACTCAAACACGTCATGTTACACTTCTTTTGCTGCTTGCTACAAAAGGAAAACTCGTGCGGCTCTCATGCCAGGGGCTCTGCGTGCACAGCAAACCAATCACAACCATTCTTGATCCGATCACAGCAGGATAACCGAGCTAGCTCAGCTTGTTGCTCTGATAACTTAAGATCCAGATCTCCGTGACTAAAATCCATCATCTGGTTAAATATAGTAAGAAAAATACCAATTGTATAGCATTAAAGTTCAAGAAACTGTCTTTTCTTCAATTCCTGTATGTTTCCATATCTTAATATATATCACAATGTCAGTTTTTTCCAATATCGTGCAGCCCGGTAGTTGAAAAGTACTTTTTGACTAACGTTTACAACTCACCTACCAACCTACTATAGCGTGAGATGGTAAGTCAGTCCCGGTGTATGATTGCAGCCTCATGGATGGAGAAAAGACGACAAAAACCCATTTAAATGTTTAATAATCAGGATTGAAGAAATGGGCACTTTAGTTTACAAAATAACTCGTATAATCACGCTTCAGAAAAGGGTATAACTCTAATTCCTGTAGATGTACATGAAGTCTGTTAAATGACCAACAGGGTGGCATACTTATGACTTTTCATGTGTTTTGACGGAATACTAGGCAATGACATTTCCATGTATTTATCAGCAGCCTCATCGATGGAGAATCTCTTTAATTCCCGTAGAAGAAATCTGTTAAATGCGTCCATGAAAAACAGGGTCCTTTATTCACAGAAATGTCTCCTCTGTTTCCTCCCAGTTTACTACCAGTCCAACGAGTGGGCGGGGGTCTACGGCGTCCGAGAGAAAGACCTCGCCGCCTGGTCGGCCAATCAGGACTGAGGACATCCTCCAATTAAAAAAAACCTCCACGATCTCACGACAACTACTTCCTCTTCCCGAACGTCTTTCCTCCCGTCCGCGGGCGACCGAACGCCTTCTTGTTCTTGTTGAACATGGTCTTCTTCTTCCTCATGGTCTTGGCGTCGCGGTCCTGCATCCAGTCGTCTCTGTTCGCCTCCCACTTCAACTGCTTCAGACCTGAGGGACAGACAGGAAGTGAGGAAACACAACAACGTCTCTGGTTTCATGGATCTGATGTGACGAAGATTTCAACTTAAGCTGAAGCTATTTATACAAATGATTAAAGTACAGATGCGCCGATGTTTAGAGTAACAACTTTGCAGATTTATTTATCCCCTTTGTGTCGGGAAAACAAAATGTTATTCAGGCCGACATAATATACTATCTCTAAATGAGCACAAACTCTCTTGACTTGGCTGATCCTTCTTATTGAGGAGATTTTAAGTTCAAACACACGGTGGATGCTTTTGATTCTTGTTTTCCGTCATTTAAATATCTAATAGCATCAAATGTGAGACTTTGAGCCCAACATGAATCATATATATATTAGGGATGCCAGCGATTATTCGATTTTTCGAATATTCGTTACAGTCTCCATAATCAAATTTTATTTTTTTTTTAATTCGATTTTATTTATATATTTTTTTATTCCTGGCTTAGTTTCAACAAAAATATAGACTAATGCTAACAATAGTAATAGTATTAATAATTGTAAATGGCCATTGGTCACACCACCAGGCGGCGGCGAATAATCGATTAATATTCGCCAGGGCTGTCCGATTTTCTAATTTGATCATGGTCAGTGTCTGGCATCCCTAATATATATATAGCTAGTCTTCTGTGTTAAAGCTGTTGTCCATCTGTTTCTCTGTGGAGAAGTTAATACATCTGGCTGGTATCCAGCTGACTGAATAAAAACAACAACCATCATCTTGTCTTTTTCCTGTTCTCATAATTATCCATATCGTTTAGTTGCTATGTTATAGAGATTTTACATTTTAGCTCTCCACACCTGAGTGTTAAGGAACTATATACAAACATATCAGATAAAAACTAGCATATAAGCCGACATGCACTTAGAAACATCCTGTCCCTGAAGCTCTTATTGCTGTTAGAGCTTTGTCTCTCAGGTGATCTTACCTGCTTTGTCGCTGTTGGCCATGGCGTTCAGGCCGGTGTTGTCAAACTTGGATCCGGCGTTCTCGTCCAGCATGGAGCCAAACTGGGAACAAGGATCAAGTCATTAAAATACAGATAATACAAAACAAACGAGAATGATCATTGATGAGTTTCATCCCTCAGGCCATAAGACTATTAAAAACACCTGATCT